ATGAGACCTATACCCGACTACCGACGTCCGAGGCCCCCAAAGCTCCTTTGTACAGGAATTCGCTGCTGCCCAGTGGGCGGCCACGCTTGTAGCTCCGGGCCACGGCTTTCTTTCTAGCTGCTGGGGAAAGGAAAGTGGAAATGCAGGGGCCTCTCTAGGCTTCCTTGAAAGGATTGTATCATGATATATCCCTAAAGCCTTAAGCCCTAAGTATTCTAGCAACTAGTTGCTACGGCCCCCACAGTACACCGGCGGTGATTCGAAGTTGGGTCGAACCTAAACCTAGAACCTCAACACCTGAACCTCGAGCCAGAAAGTCCTAAGCCCCAAACCTTGCACCCGAAGCCTGCAACCCGAGACCCTCGCCACTAAGACGTAAACTCCAAACCCCCCCCTCAACCTCGAGTCCTGAACAGAAGGCCAGTATGGGAAGGACCAGTCAAGGTGCTTCTATCTTTAGAGCTCTCTCTTCGGGGGATTTTACGGCTTAGGCTGAGCTCGAGAATTTGTATCAGGTTTCGGGCAGGGTGTAGGATGGCTTGCCTATACTGTGGCTTCGTGGAATTAAGGGTCTCTTGTGCAGGGTTAACATATGTCCCCATAATGAGGATCCTACTCAGTTGAGTTCTGTACTAGTGTGCCCCTTTGTAGTTCAGGTAGTCAGGACCCCCCATGAAACCTGGACTTTTACGAGGACCCATGAACATGATTCCAGGCTATCGAGACGTAGCAATAAAGCAGGTAACGAGTTCTGCTGAAATCTCAATAGTGGCATAATCTTCTCGAGCAGCTTCGTTCTTCAAGTAGAAAGCCGGCATGGACAGGAGAACTTGCACCAGTATTGAAATTGCCATCGGGCAGAGCGGTGTTGGCTGAAAGAGGACATGCTGCCAGTACCAGATCAGCAACAAGTCGACCCAGCAATGGACCCGAGGAAGAGTTCTGTGGTCATGGCATACTCGTGTCGCGGGGGTTGAAGAAGTGCTTCGGCTGGGGTTGTCATGATTTGAGGGGTTGCACAGAAAGAGTGCCATAGAGTGCCCTTACAAAGGTATTTTCTGAGTCCCTCTTCCATCAAACTCTCGTTTTGGAAGCTCAAACCATGTTTATGATGCAGGAGGGTGCCTGGCAGACTAGAACCCACAACCCGAGTAGCACCTTGAGAAGCATCTACGTAAAGCATCGACTTATGCTGCCAGCTTTCGTCCCACAGATGTCCAGCACACTCGTGGAGCCTGGCAAGAAAGCGTCTACTGGCGTGATCCAGTTAGCCGGCAAAGCGGGAAAAGTGCAGCTGCTTGCGGAGTGCTTCGTACCTGAATATGTACAGAACACCCAGGGAGCAGGCTCTACCTGTCACTAGTTTGACAGGGGTGGCCTAACGAAATTGCGGACTGAATAATAGGACTCCTTATTAGGGCTCGTTTACTACCATACCGCTACTACCACGCTATACCCAAAAATGCTATTCTAATCCCCACGTCCCCATGCTATCAGCTGTCGAGCATGTGAAGTTCAGGCTTGCAGACCCCAAGCCTGAGGACCCCAGCCCTCGAGCCGAAATCCGCAAGGCCGTGCTGCGGCTTGGTCCCCCTGCTGGGGCTTAGGGCGAGTTTAGGGTTTAGGGTGAGCTCTGATTTATCAACTCCCCCTCTCCCTGAAGTTCTGAATCGAGCTTACAATAAGGATGCGAATAATTAATTAGAGCTGTAAGGTTTCTGAGTCCGGACGTTCCTCGAACCCTCTGGAAAGGCCTCTGCAGAAGGCAAGAGAAGTTGAGCTTCGAGAACTACGCCAATCGGCTGACAACCCCTCCGTCTTCAGGACAGCTGCAAGTACAAATCCATTAGCTCAAGGTGAGGAGCCCACTGCAAGAAGCGCAACTACCCTGTTGCTTCCTTCACCAAACCTTGTGGACCACTTACAGCCTTGCTGTTAAAAAGGTCCCAAGTCTTAAGTTGCTCGCAGTATTTACAGGCAACACATCCAGCAACTCATTTGAACCAGGTGGGCTTGAAATACTTGTTCTGCTGAGACCCTAAGCCGGGATTCCGCCTGCTTCTTGGCTACCACCAACAAATCGTGTTATAGGCTGTGCGGAAAGAGCTGGGTAAAGAATCGCGTTGCCTTCGAGTGCTATGCTGTGCCACCTCGCACTGGTGCCCATCCTGGATGGACAAGCTCGGAGATGATGCCTAAAGAAAAATGCACTTTGTCTGCCACTATGAAACAGGACAGTGTACACGCGAAACAGAAACATCTATCCATCTATCCTTCGCTTGGCATAAAAGTGAGCTCAACCGTGACAAGCCAGATTGGCTCCAGTGCACGGTGGAACCGCATAGCACTCGAAGGCAACATGATGCTTTCGATCTTATGCCCATGGTCATCACTGGAACCTATTCCAACGAAGAGCTGTGCAAGGGCGTCCACCAAATTTGGATCGAACACAACGAACATGAGATTCGCAAGCGACCACAGCTCTCAAGCCGTTGGCAGAGCTCACTGAGCCGGAACGTAGGAAGTCCCTAAACCCTAAACCCTAAACCCTAAACCCTAAACCCTAAACCCGACTTCGACTTTGTCTTCCAGGCGCGTGCATACGTCACACACCTCGAGGACCAGGGTTGCCAACCTGTGCTGGGCGTAGCCAACGGCCCATCGGCTTAGGGTTTAGGGTTTAGGGTTTAGGTTTTTTTTTGTTGATGTTTCTCTTTGTGTTGAGCGGACTTATTCCAGCTCAGGGGCCGCTGCTGGGCCGTTGCACCTTTCTCGATCTTCAAGCACTCCAGGTTCTTGGTCCGTAGTCCTCCCCCGGTCCTGTCATCCCTTTCTTTCGTCCTCTGCCACCCCTCAGACCCTCTCTAGTCCCCAGCCTGCTGCAAAATTGCAGGCATTGCGGTCCAATCTGAAAACCTGCCCGAATTTTTCTCTTGTAGCGAATGTTGCAGATCATGCAATGTCATATTGCTTGGGCTAGGAAAACTTAGTTTGCACGTCCGTTTGTCTCGAAGGGCAGATAAACCAGACGGCTTGTCATCCACGTAAGAGATGTGATCGGGGCTCCAGTTTCATGTAGAGGGTCTGGTGACGCCTTCATCCCAAAACACTTAAACTCAAGCCTACAGACCTTCAACCCCAAAAAAGTGGGTTTCGGCTCCCGTGTCCTTGGATTCCTGCTTGACGCCGCGCCTCCGGGCTCAACAGGCTGCAGAACATGTTGGGTAAAGAGCACCTGGGGGTGGGACCACGGGGTCTTCCTAAACACGGCTTTGTTGCCTTTGGGTCTATGAACTTCAATCCGCATTTCAGTGTTTCGGCATGAATCGCAAGTCCCGCGGGAAAACTTGCAGAGCATGCTCAAGACTCGAATCTCACCGCAGACTTTTCAGAATCTTACGCCTGGAAACAGCATAGGATACCGTGCTACTTCATCTCCTTACCACTCCAATGATCACGACGTTGCATCCTCTGCCCTGGGGCCTTAGTTGCCGGATCTCCTAAAAGGAGGCTCCGGGTTTTGCCGCGCAAGGGACACGGCCTTGCCGAAGGCTCCTTCGGTGCTGCGGCGTTCTCAGAGCTTCAGCGAGTTCTGCAGGGGATCAGGGTGTTGAGGTCTCAGGGTTCAAAGTTTAGGGTTGAGGGTTCAGAACGTAGGGCATTAGGGTTTATGAGTTGGGGTATTGGGGCTCAGTGAGTGTTTAGGGCATCAGGGTTTAGGGTTTGGGTTTTAGTCTTTAGGGTATGACTAGGCTCCAATAGGGTTCCAGAGGGTTAAGGCTTTCTGTGGGGTCGTGTATTTTATGGGGTTCTGACACAGAGTTTGAAGGGTCTTATCGTCGGGGCTCGGTGTACGGTTGATTAACGCTCATAGCTTTCTGTGTTTGTTGGAGGGGTAGGAGTCTGTACTGATGGCTTCAGGATGTGGGGCTTACTGCTTTGGAGGTTCTCGGTGGTGGATGATACACCTTAAGGCCTTTGTTAACTGTTTGTTGGGCTGCGTTGTGTTGAGTTCAGAGGTATGGGGTGGGTTCGTGAGTCTCCGGTTTCGGGTTGACAGAGCAAAACTGTACACCCCAAAGCGCATGCTGACTTTCTGCACTTTCAAACAAAACCCTGAACCCTAAGCCCTAAACCTCGTGAACTAGTGAAGGCAGTTTCTAGTTGTGTGCCAACTGCGGGCAGGTACAACAAAGGTGCGCCTACACAACTTGAAAAAAAAAACTAAACCCCAGCTCGGTGGATCAAGACCCACACCGAAGCCTCAAGCGTAAGGTTCTGAGAGTTTTTGCAGTGGAGGATCGCAGGGTTCCGGATCTTGTGGCTTTATAGAGCTTACCTTACACTACCATGACCTACTTTCTTGTAGGTTCGTATACTATACACCCAGTATGGAGTTTATGGCGACCCTACAGAAAAGTAGGTTTTGGGAGAGACTGCACTGTCGAGGTCGGAATAGTTAAAAGTATGTATGTACTACCCAAGCCCCGAATCCCTAAGTCGGAAGGCCTCCGTGCTCATGATCGCTAATGCTCCACGATCAGGGCTCTAAAGGGCCTATCGGGGATGTAGTAGTGTGTACTATGGTAGATCAGGGTTTAAGGGTTCATTGGAATGTAGGGGCTTAAGTTGTAATCGGAACAGACAGGAATTGCATGAACAGCAACAGCTCCAGTTCGGGATGTTCGGCACCCAAAGCATCAGACGGCCCAAGTGTTCTGAAGCCTTAAGCCCCGCAAACAGAGTCCCGCGCCGGCTTGCATCGGATAATGTTTATAGAAGCCTAAATAGTTACCTACATTATTCCTTAGGAGTCCTTGTTATAACTGACTATACTGGAATGAATATTGTTCCAATTATTAAGGCCCCTACATTAGGCCCTACCCTACATGTCTTCTCAAACTCTTTGCTGGAGTCCATACCGTGCACCATAAACCCCAAAGCAGAATATGGCCTCGGGTTTTGCTGAGAAATCTGGAGCCGCAGCAAAGGTGGGCAGCATGGAAGTCTTCCTGCTGTACCTCGGAGGGGCGCCGGGGAAACGGGGGCATAAGCTGGAGGGTGGGGTGCGGGGAAACCCTAAACCCTAAACCCTAAACCCTAAACCCTAAACCGAACATCAAAACCCTTAAGCTGCTGAAACCCCTCGCGCTTGCAGTCCTACACCTTCAACCCCCAAAAGCTTGAAACCCCAGTCCTCAACACTATGTATACAAGCCTGAATGCCCTAAACCCTAAACCCTAAAAGCCCTAGGCCGTAAGAACCATGCACCTTCAGACCCCAACCTTAGCGCTTTAAACTTAAGCCCTGCAACCTTCAACAGCCGGATCTCATGCGAGGCTTCGCGGTTCTGTCGGTCTCCCGTGTGCTTTTTGACTTCGGACTTGCGGATCGGCGGGTTTAGGGTTTAGGGCTTTACGGTTTAAGGTTTAGGGCTTTAGGGTTTAGAGCCTTCGGGTTTAGGGTATAGGCTTTTAGTGCAAGAGCGAACTTCCTAATGAGCCCCAGTGTACAGCCGCCATCAGTAGATCCTAGCTTCGCCCGAAACCCCTAAACCTAAAATCCGAAGCCTGACAGCCCCAAACCTTTGAATCCTAAAGCCCTGGAGCCCTAAACCCTACTTCAAATTGGGCCTTGATATAGACCCCAAATTCGAGGGCTTTGATTCCGAAAAGCCGCACAAAAAACCACACCCAACTGTCCTAATCCCACTCTAAACCTCAAACCCGATGCCAGTTAACCAAAACACCCAAACCCCAATCCCTCAAACCTTAAAGCCCTAAGCCACAAACCCCTGTATCGAGTAGCCCTCAAGCCCGACAACCCGTTAATCATCCTTGCCCGCCAGATCGCCCTCGGACTCTTGACCATCGAACTGCTTGGAACCTCCTGCAGGGATCCCTAAAAAAGGGGCTTCAATAATTACCTACATTACTTTGTTATATTTTATAAAGAGCCCCAAAACGCCATTCTCATTGTTAAGGCCCCCGGCTTTTGGCCTTTGGGGTTTAGGGCTTAAGGTGTTGCGTCGTTGGGTCAGCGGCTTCTGTGTTTGGGGTTGAGGGTGTTTTGGGGTAGAGCTTTGTGGGTTTGGGCTTCGGTGCCCATCCGCCTGGACGACGATTCCTCCTAAACATTACCCGGGCCGTACAAAACCTATCTCAAGTGTCTGACTCACGAAACGCGATGCGATATCCCCAACTAAGCGGCCCGGCCATACCAAGCCCTAAGTGAAACTCGACAACCCTCACTGTTCGGTCGTCTCCGCTAAGTGCTAGCTCTTGTACATACATGCAGTGGTTGAGAATGGCATCAAGGGGTTGGTTGGCCACAAGGAAGGTTTGAGGTCATTCCGCAGCAGCTGGGTCTTCATGCTTCGTGTGGGTTCAGGGTCTGTGGGTTGGGGTTTAGGGTGAGTCAGGGTCTGGCATGGGGCGTGAGCCTGTCTACTTTCCAGTGTATTTAAAATTACTTACAGACCCAGGAAAATGCGACCATTGGCTGCACTTCTACTTTAAGCTTTTAGCAAGACTTGCTTACACGGTAGAACTCGTTGTCTTTGATCTGCGTAATTCGGAATGCTCACTATCTGATCATTGGGCTTGTTTGTGCTGTGAACAGTACAGAAACCAGAAGTCATGGGGTCTAGGGTTTACAGTTCGGGACCCCGAAGTGAATCGAATCGACCCGTCCCTAGTAGTAAGAGAACTTGAGGCTGCATCGAAGCGACCCTGGGGTCACAGATGCATGATGATCGCGCAGACAAGCTCAGACCCTGATTCTGCGCACCGCGACGGGACGGAGATGATCTCGTCATCGTCAAACCTCTTGTCGCCGAGGCCGAGGGTGACCTTCTTGAATCCCGGCTCTGTGCTACCAGACCACAGCTGGTGGAGTTGTGACACGTAGGATAGTTACATCGACCGGTTGGAAGACGCGATCCCCGGCAAGATCAAGGAGCTTGAGGATCCTGAGTGCACCCTAAACCCTAAACCCTAAACCGTAAACCCATGACAAGCCGTGCTGGTAGGAAACCTGGTTCACCTTACCCTCCCAACCTGCACCCTTATCCGCTCGACCCCTGGACCAAAAACCCTTTGCAAGAGATCTCTATAAGCAACATACGCACGGCCTCCATAGCAATAGCAGAGCCAAGTCACCCAAGATTTTCATGGCATACTCTCACATAGATTCTTTCGACTTCCTTCGGCGTCCTCGAATTTCGCGGTTTATCTGCGATGAACTAGAAGGCAGGCTCAGAGTTGCTTTGAAAAAAAGCGCACGCTTAAGCCAACATGAAGTACAAATAGCCTAGGTAACATAGCAGGCCACTCGTATAAGCCACATGTCTCAGATCCTCCAACTAGATAGAGTTTTCAGCTTGGCCAGGACCCTTATTCAGAAATCAAGAGCCAGCTATGTGACACTCTTCAGAATTGCTGAAATATTATCGGTTGATGTGCCCTTCCATGTAGGGTTCTGAGTGAATCAGGCTCGGCTTGCAAGCAGCTAATTTGCCACAAGTGGCAGATCAACCAGAATCCCACGCCCGCTGCTCAGTCGAGGATTTCGGGTTACGGGTTTCGGGGTTTAGGTTTATACTCAACCCCAGACCCGAAAGACTAAACACAAGAGCCTTTCTTACACTGGATCCGCCCCTGACGCGCAAATCCTAAACCCTCTGTCCAAAGCTTCGATTATCCTAAATCATGCCTGTATGGTCGGGGGTGGCTTAATTTAAAGGCTTCACACATATCAGGGCGGCCTATGACGGGTTTTGGGTTTAGGGTCTAGGGTTTGTCCTGTGAACCAACCCTAAACCCTAAACCCTAAACCCTAAACCCTAAACCCGAAAGTTGAGATTGTTGCTTGAGCTGTTGTGGAGCGGTCAAAGCCATGGAGAGTTCTTGAAGGTGAAATCAGCAGCAGGGGCCCCCTAAACCCTAAACCCTAAACC